TATATTTATTTATTTATTTATACACACGCATATGTTATAATATATATATCTAAGTATTGTGAGTATATTATCCTAGGTTCTTAGTTATTGTTTCACAACTAGTTGATGATTTCATTAAACATAGTGATTATAATGCGTTGTTACAATAAATAAATGCTAATAAATATTAATTATATATTTATGAAATTATTTTATCGTAAAAATCATTAAATTATTCATTAATCAGATTTATTAGAATTGAATTTTATGAGAATATAATGCAGAATATGGTGTTAAAAAATGGTGAAAGTTGATTTATATCAGTCTTGAAAACTACTTGATAAAGTTAAAAAAAAAAAATGTTGATAATTTCATATTTTTCATACAACTTAAATATTACGTTTAAATTAAAATTTCCAGGATAGTAAGTTATTAGTTCTTGAAATTTAGAATAGAGAAAAAGACAAGTTCCTAAAACTAGTTAATGTAAAGACATTTCTTTATTTCTTTTAGAAAAAAAAAATTATTCTTAAAATGTTAATCTAAAATTATATTTCATCTAACTTCTCCTTTTTAAGAAAACGGAAGCTTAATAATTGAGTGTAAAAGAAAACTTACTCCTAAAATAAATTAACGATATTATTTTATGATAGCCGACATAAATTTTTTTTTTCATCATATAATAATTTATTTATCATTGTTAATTTAGTATATTTTTAACATAATTAAAATGTAGACAATTATTTCTCGACCGGTTGGCATACAACCTTTTCAAATTAGAAATACTAATAAAATATTTCCATCCCACTGGTTTAAATATACTTTATTATTAGTTAAAATATATTATGAAATTACAATAGGTCTCACTTTTTATTTACTCATAAATCTTATAATTTATAATAAACTTTTAATAAATAGTAAAAAGTGCATTAAAAATATGTGTTTCTATTTGTTATCATTTAACACTTTTGTTTTTCAAATTGAATTGGTTTATTTGTGAATGGATGGTTGGCTGGTGAAGCATGAGTCCATTTTTGTGGAGCTTTGGGAATTTTCAATGGTCATTGGTCAACAATCTCAACCCGATGGCTTGTGAGAGAATAAAGAGCTAGATCACTAACGTGGGACAGTCATACCTTAAGAATTAAGACCAATAGTATATTTTTGTGCCTATTTTTATTATTAATAAACAATGTGATGAAAAGTGATATAAATAAAAATAATGATGTACAAATTATTATACAATTTCTTGTACAAGTTTAAGACACTTGTTCTGTCTCAAGAAATTGCTGATTATTCAGAATGAAGGTCCTATGTCTAAATAGTAAATTCTACATTTCACACAGCTTTTCATATTGCTGGCAGGCTAAAGAGAATTTAGGAAATATCATATTTTAGGTCTTTGGTCTTCCGTTAAAAAGTTAAAAAGTTAAAAAAGAAAGAAAAACAAACAAACAAACAAACAAAGTCTTTGGTCTTCGATTGGGTTTTACTTCAAGGTGCAATTCGAAAGGTACAGCAAGAAGAATTAGAAATTAAAACACATTAATAGTAATAAATAAAAGGCTCATGATATATATATTTCCTTTTTTTTTTATAAGTACACCTTCTTTTTTAAAAAAATTATAAAATATTATAATTTTTTTAAAAAAAATTAATTTTATACTTTCAACTTTCAATTTGCTACTTTCTTCTTCTTATTCACACACCTTTTTTTTTTCTTTCAATTTTCACATGTTACCAAAATAGGTGGAGTGAAGGAAAAATAAGAGGGTACATGTAAAAATTGAAAAAAGGAGGAAAGATGTGTGAAAAAAAAGTACTAAATTAAATATTGTGGATGTAAAATTAAAAAATTTAAAACAAAAAATTAAGAATATTTTAAAATTTTAATTATTTTTTTAAAAATGAGGTATACTTATAAAAAAAAAAAGAAAGTGTATATATCATGAACCTAAATAAAATGGTACCAAAAGTGTACGTTTGGAGGCCCATGAGTGCTTTAGAGTCTGTAGCCCACTTCATAATAATAGTGTACGTTTGGAGGCCCATACAAGATTATTCGTCACAAGTACCATGGACCGTTATTCATAACTTCATAAGGTTCACAGTGAACCAAAAATTTAATACTGTTGGATATATTTAAAAAAAAAAATGAATGGTGCATATAATACTAACTACATTTGTTTAAAAAGTATTTTTTATGTTAAATTATTTTATATTGACAATGTTTATTTTCAGTTTAATGTTAAGTCAATCTCTTTACCTTCCGTTTATCTCCACTTTCTCTATATTTTTACTCTTACTCAAGTTTGTGCGTGTTTAGTTTAAATTTTGTGACGTGATTCTTCAAGTGAAGCAGAAATAACTCCTCATAACTTCTTCATAAATATGAAATTTGGACGTGAAAATTTGTAATATAGAATGTTGAACCAAACACGCACCTTATAAATTTTCACTATCACCATTAGAATTGATCTTGGACCCAAGGAACTTGAATATAGATTTTTTCCTTTGGCAAGACACTCATTAGAGGGAAAAAAAAACTCGACGATGATTTTATTATTTGCATTTTATTTTATATCTTTATATTTTTCATTTTGTTGTTGAACATCACATTTTGTATATATTTTATACGACTATTTGTATCTCATTTTTATTTCTTCTATATTCTCACCTTACATATATTTATCAAATTATTTGTTATTTCACTATTAACTTATTCCAGACAATTAAAATTAATTTACCAATTAATTTTTGAAAAATTTAGCACCGAAAATTACTGAGTGTTAAACTATTATTTTTTCCATTATTTTTTAATTAAAATAACAAAAATGTAAAACCAAATACACTGAGATATGTATTCCAGATAAGATAACATAAGCTTATTTTTGTTGTATATTTCGTGCACAAACACAATGTATGACACTCCAGAAGACAACGAAAACTTGTTTCTACTATATATCACGAGCACGCATACAATAAAAACAAGCCTTTTTTTTGTTTTTGTTTTTATTTTTTTGTTTTTTGTTTGTGTTGTGAGAATGTCAAATGTTAGGATTATTTTAATGGAATAAAACTTTTTTAAAAGTAGAAAGCTTAAATGGTAAATGGAGGTGTGGATAGTAATGCCTATGCCTTTACAGTAAGCTCTAGAAGAGCAACACGGGCCTTGCCCATCCTTCATAGTCCAATGGATCCGTCTAACAGGAACAACTTCGGAAATTTTTACTCTTATGAAATTTTAAAAAAAATATATAAAAATGAAACCCTCCCCAATATATTTACACAAATGAACCTGAATATTGTGCTCTGCCGGAATTCGGTACCGGGATCCGAATTTTGCAGGGTGTTTTATTTTGTTTTTTTTTTCCTGCATTTTTTGATTTTCTGTTTTTTATGTATAAATATAAATATTTTAATTAAATAATATAAGTAGTTTAATTTAAATAAAAAATAATCATGTATTTTCTTTATATTATTTGTATAAGTGAAATATTAGAAGATGAAAAATAATATTTTAATAAGATAAATATAAATGATAAATAATATTATTATGTTTATAAAATTTATATTCTTAGGTAAATTTTTATAAGTTAGAAGATGAAAATTTATATTTTTATGTAAATTTTAATAAGTTAGAAGATGATAAATATTATTTATATAAGTTAAATAAAAATGAAAATAATTATATGTTTATATAATTGATTCTTTTTAATAAAATTGATAAAATT